TATCCTAGGTGTATATGACTTTCTTCTTTCAGACGAATACAATCAGAGTTACATTAAAAAATGTCCTGGCTCTTTCAAGCTTTATAATGGCAGTTAATGGGTGATTATATTCAATAGTCCAATAGAAGTTTAAAAAAAATATATCCATATTTAAAACTTTATAAACCGTAATCTCTGTGGTACGCGCATTCACGAGAGAGTGGCGTTCCGGCGGATGACGCAGTGTAAGCTCCGGTGAGAAGTGACGAATGCGGAAGCGAGAGAGAGCAAAACACCGGTCACGAATTAGAAGTACAAAATGAAGATTTGTAAAGAAAAATGTCGGAGGATTTTGATATAAACCAAGAGGAGACTGGTTTTCCTTTGCTGTAAACAAAACTTGGTTCTCACGAGACTAGCATATTCTCACCTGACCTTACGCTACGCCTACATCATCCGCTGGAATGCCACTCTCTTGTGAACGTGAGTACAACAATCTAGCTAGAGATTACGGTTTATGAAGTTTTAAATATGGATATTTTTTTTACACAAACGCATCGATTTGCTTCAGGAGGCCTTTATTCACCCGCCCCGCCCCACCCCGTGTGGAGCACTTTTTATGATGGATGGATGCGTTTATTGGACTTCATTTGGACTACTGGAAAATAACACCCATTCACTGCCATTATAAAGCTTGGAAGAGTCAGGACATTTTTTTATATAACTCCGATTGGATTCATCTGAAAGAAGAAAGTCATATACTCCTAGGATGCATTGGGGGTGAGTACATCATGGGGTAATTTTCATTTTTGGATGAACTATCCCTTTAATATCAGTAACCTGTCAAACTTTATCATCCTCAGAAGAGGATGTTTTAACATTAAAAAAGTGCACCTGAAAGATACTATACCTAATGCCAGGCAATCAATTTAGTGCTTGCCAATTCCAGAAAGTGATTTACAGTTTTGTTTCCAACAGGCATCAAACTCTAGGTGTGCCAAAGTCAATACGAATCCAGATAAAATATTTGAACAGCTTACTGGTGAAAATATAACCAGCGTCAGATACGGGCTCCAGCAACAATAGTAGTATTATGCGTGGAGTCAGTCCTGACGTTTGCCTTGTGTACATGTGTGTGATGTTACCGAAGGCATGCCGTGGCGTTGTTGAAGACCTCTGGTGCCAGGCTGGTGTTGGAGTTGTCGTCTGTACTTGCTGAAAACGGCTCGATGACTTTCTCAGTGAGCGCAGGCAAGGCTGTGTGGAGCAAATCCAGCTTAAGGTTATCTGCAGAGGAGAGATTCCACAGGAGACCTACAACCACAGAAAACCGACACAGATCAGACTGATACAAACACAGTCCAACACAGTGCAAAACACTACTGTTTAGGTTTTAAAGTTTTTAAAGTTTTTGAAAGACGTGAAGTTATGTTCACCAAGGCTGCATTTATTTGATTAAAAAAACTGTAATAACTGTAATATTGTGAAATAGTATTACAATTTTCAGCAGGACAACATTAAATTACAAACTAAAGCAAAATAAAAATTACTTACGCCCTATTAAAACAGATTAAAAACAAACCTAATAATAATCCTACAAAAATACAAAAAAAAACAAACATTTGAACCACATCCCTGCTGTTAGTTTATTTCAGGTTCAAAACAAGTTTGTTAATGGTGACACTTTACAATAAAGTTCAATTTATCAATGTTAGCTAATGCATTAGGTATCATAAACTAACAATGAACAGTATTATTAGCATTTTTATTGAATAATTGTACAGCCTTTTTTTAAACTAGGTTATAGTATTCTAATAACCTAGTATTTTGGTTCTAGTATAACTAGGTAATCTAGTTTTTTTACATATATTCAAATTGTGTAAATTAACATTAATTCAGGTCTTCTGAACATTTTTACATACATTAATACATTTTTAGCATTTCAAGTTACATAAACGAACATTAGCCAATGTTTTCTGAACAAACATGAATTAACAATGAACAATACTTTATTTATGAATTACACTACTCAACTGTTCAGAAGTTTGGGATCTGTAAGATTTTAAATGTTTGCGACAGTCTCTTGTGCTCACTATGGCTACACATATTTAATCAAAAATTAAAATTGTGTGTTTGCGACAGTCTCTTGTGCTCACTATGGCTACACATATTTAATCAAAAATGCAGTAAAATTGTGAAATATTATTAAAATTTTAAATAACTGTTTCCTATTTAAATATACTTTAAAATTTAATTTATTCTTGTAATGCAATGCTAAATTTTAAATGAAATTTATATTAAAGCTTAGGCAAAGTGACCTAAAAACCATCATATAATTAACTGTCATACTTTAAGTGGAGGACACGCATACAGTAGTGTGGTCTAGTATTGTGGCATGTGCT